CAAGAATTGTGCCAATGCCATTTATGTTTATTGTTGGCATGTTATATTACTTTGTTTTGCGTTGATTAGCACACAGTTCTTACCAGACGATGCAGACGCTAACAGCTAAAAAGACCCGGCAGAACTACCCACACAGCTATATCACAACATTAATTGGAAATAAGTATTGTAAAACTATGGCAATAAACCTCAAACTAATCTGCATCTGTCGATTGGAATATATTTTGTATGTGTCAGGGTAAGATCACATTCATTGTGTAATAACGGCAAGCGGCAATAGGTCATTGGAAAACGTGATTTGCCGTATGTGCAAAGTACGTTTAGCAGATTTTGCTAAAGTTCAGGCACTAGGTCCGTCTCTAAACTTTCTTGGTTATAAAGTTTAGAGTCTCTGCCAAATAAGTTTGTTTATTACAGACACAAGTTTCTCAGTCTTTGCGCTAATGTTTCTTGACCAGTCTGACTTATTTTCCGAGATGTTGCCGCGTTACCACCCTTCAACTAAACAATACATCAAATCAAATCAAGTTTTATTTATATAGCACATTTATAAACGATTTTTGGTCGAGCCAAAGTGCTGTACATATAATAAAAATAGCCTACAGTAGAGACACTTTACAGCAAATACAAAGCACAGATTGTTCAGAATATCAGTATGAGAAAAACGACACCCTCTATCCTTAGACCCTCACATCGTACAAGGAAAAACTTCCGGAGAAAACCCCACAGTTTAAGGGGAAAAAATGGGAGAAACCTCAGGGAGAGCAACAGAGGAGAGATCCCTCTCCCAGGACGGACAGATGTGCAATAGATGCCGTGTGTAAATCGAAGAGATAATACATTTTACAGCATATAGACCGAATGTTAGGAAAGGCATGTGTCTGTAATAAGAAGATGAATCCACGAGGATGTCAGCTACAATCCTGTGGAAGCCATCAGGGAAGCAGCATGGTGAGACCCAAGGCAGGACCGCAGAGACAGGTTCAGCCACGACCCGAAGTCCACGACTTAATCCAGAACTCAGGATAGAGGATCCAAGACCCAGGACTACAGCAAGAGGATCAGCCTCGACTCCGGATCCCGGCGTAGATATAGATACAAAACAAGAAAAAAGATTTGGCTGGGTTAATCGGAACAAGAGAATACACAGACACAGACAGAGAGGGAAAAGGTAATTGGATAAAAGTTATTCTTGATAACCCTCTAGAAAGATCTCATGAACTTCCCCACTCAATCTATCAAGACCCGAGCAGTTCTATTAGATATAAGATAAGAAACAGAGATAGGGAGCACAACAACCTATCTCTTCGTCAGATGCACTCCCCCGCTTATCTAAGCGACTCTGTACCCCGTTACCCTCTACAAGGCCATAGACCAGCAGAGGGAAAATGGGGGGTGTGTAAGGGTAAGGATTTTTAAGAATAAACCGCAAGGGTCTAAAGGGAAAAAGATGAAATAAAAGGTACTATATTTTAAGTAATCCTATCTACTATTCCTATATTTGAATAATGTATAAACTATTTTAAAAATACTTTATGAAATCCTATGTTATGTTATAAATATTAAAATAAAGAACTAAATGAATAAATAAATAACTGAATAAATAGATAGATAATTAAACAAAAGCCAAAGAGAAAAAGTGAGTTTTAAGTGTTGATTTAAAAACCCCCAGGGTCTGGGCCGACCTCACATGGAGGAGCAAAGTATTCCAGAGCCTAGGGCCAGCCGCTGCGAAAGCTCGATGCCCTCGGGTTTTAAGCCTGGTCTTAGGCACTATCAACAACAGCTGATCAGCCGACCTTAAGGCTCTGCCTGGGGTGTAGCGATGGAGGAGTTCGGCTATATAGGCATGAGCCAGCCCATTTAGGGCTTTAAAAACAAATAAAAGGAGTTTAAAATCTATTCTGAACCGAATTGGAAGCCAGTGCAATGAATCAGAATTGGGGTGATATGGTCGCACTTTTTATGGCCAGTGAGAAGACGTGCAGCTGCATTCTGAACTAGCTGGAGGCGTCTAATTGAGGCCTGATCCATACCCACATACAGAGCATTGCAGTAATCCAGTCTCGAGGTAACAAAGGCGTTAATAACCCTTTCTAGGTCTTTAAAAGATAAAAACGACTTGGTCTTAGCCAATAGTCGTATTTTGAAAAAGCAGGTCTTGACTACAGTGCTGACCTGCTTATCAAATTTAAAGGCGCTATTGAAGGTCACTCCAAGGTTCATAACAGAGGGGAGGATATTTTTATTATATATATATATATATATCAACCGGGGAGACTATTGGTTGGGGTCCAAAAAAGATGACCTCGGTCTTGCTCTCATTAAGGGTGAGGAAGTTTTGGCTCAGCCAGGATTTAATCTCTGTTAAGCAGTCCTTCAACTGCTGTAGTGAATTGGCATTTTGATTGAGAGGCAGATAAATCTGTACATCATCAGCGTAGCAGTGGAAGGGGATATTATGTTTTGTAAGAATTGAACCCAGAATCGAGCCTTGGGGAACCCCACAGGTAAGAGGAGCTTTGGCAGAGGAGAAGACACCTAACTGCACTGAGAAGCTACGGTCCGTCAAATAAGACCTGAACCATGCAAGGGCAGAGCCTGTAATGCCTGCGGACTGTTCAAGCCGTGACAACAGGATACTATGATCCACATTGTCAAAGGCAGCAGTTAAATCTAACAGCACCAAAACAGCTGGGCTGCCTGAATCGGCGGCTAAGAGCAGATCATTAAAAACTCTTAAAAGGGCTGTTTCAGTACTATGCATAGGTTTAAAGCCAGACTGACATTTTTCATGGATACCATGCGTGGTTAAAAATGACTGCAACTGGGCGTAGACTACTCGCTCCAGGGCTTTAGATAAAAAGGGTAGCTGGGAGATGGGCCTGACATTTGCGAGAATGGAGGGATCGAGATTTTTCTTTTTAAGTAGTGGCTTAACCACGGCATGTTTGAAGGCAGCTGGGACACATCCTGAGCTAAGAGAAGTGTTTACAAGCAATAAAACACTTGCTCCAACTGATTCAAAAACATGTCTAAGGAAGCGAGAGGGAATGCTGTCTAAGGTGCAGTTTGTCGGCCGCAGGTGCTTGACTACTTCCGAGAGAGAAGAGAGGGATACAGGCTCAAAATGGTCGAGGACAGCAGGGCACAGAAAGGGAGCAGGATCTGGGGTAGCACTAGTATAGGCTAGCCTAAGAGCAGTTACTTTTTCGATAAAAAATGTAAGAAATGTATCGCAGAGAGTAGTTGATGGCACAATTGGAGAAGCATCACAAGGATTAATGATCGAATTGAGGACATTAAAAAGAATTTGAGGTTTATGGCTGTTTTTGGAGATTAACAAAGAAATATACACTGTTTTGGCTGCTTTGACTGCCGTCTGTTAATCAGAAAGGCAAGCACGAAGAATTTGTAAGGAGACATGAAGTTTATCCTTTTTCCATTTTCTCTCTGGAATAAAACCCAGATTCTAGCATAAATAAAACAGAACCATCATGTTATACCCTTCCATGTGGTGTTTAATGACTATAAGAACGGATGGCATAAAGTCTGTGAGAAACTTTGAGCATACGGCTCAGGAAGGAACAGATTCAGGCCCACAGACAATTGGCAAAGAAATGTTAATGTAAGCAAGATGATTCCTCTGCCATATTAAACACACAACAGTGGTAATATTACTAGCATTTGCCATTGGCTGTGTGTGTAATCATGTCAGGAGTGCACGTACCCCGGAGTGTGTGCCAGGGCTCTGGTCAGCCCACCCGTCAGATATGTGCTGCCAACTCTCGCTTGGCAGACTCTTTGAAATTCGTCTTACCTCTGCAGCGGTCAGCAGAGTCAACATCTCCGTCAGACCACATGTAAACGCTGAGCATTTGAAGCAGTGTGACTGGACCTTGTGTGTGCATTAGCCTTTTTAATTGGGTGTGATATGGGTTTGTGCAAACTGTGTATGCAGCTGCTGAATTTAAAAGGGTAATTTCACTTATTTTCCCACTCACCAAGAAAATACAGCCTTGCAGAAAGTACTGCTTTTATTCGCTAAAGGTTTGGAAATATTTGAAAATATCTGCACTCCATCTCAATTAAATGGCGGTAAATGGTATTTTACTTTTGGTTTTCACACCATTCAAAAATGTAATTTTAAGAAATGTATTTGAATTGATAGACAGTACAAAACATCAAATATCATTACTATGTATGTGTGTCTTTGGTTTGACATGTGAAGCTGAATGTAAAGATGGACACTGAAGAAAATGAGACTGGAGATGGAGATACATGACACACAAGAACAACTTGTGCCAAAGAGAGGAGCTGTTTCTGTCGTTTGGAGGTTTTTTGTAAATGTTGTCGACTAAAATCGTTGCCTGAGGAGGTAACACAAGTAATTTACTCCACCACTTCAACTGAAAGCACTTATTGGAGTACGAAGAATGTATGAAAATACAATCTGCTTCAACAAGCAACGCTGGTGAAATGTCTAAAGTAAAGTTGAGTCAAGTGTCACTTGAAGACGCATTTGGTCGAGGGGTTGTCTATGATAGGAAAGACTTATAAATGTCAATACATTTCAAATCATTGAAAAATAAAAGAAATACCATGATACTGTTCAAATTTGGAACAATACTCTGCTATTCATTTTTTTTCATACTGCCGAGCCCTATATTATAGTGTTTAACCTTAAAGTAAAAACATACTGCTCAACACTGTAAATCAAAGTATTGTTCTACTGCTGTAAGTGAGGAAATATGTTTTTATATGTTCAGGCTGATGCAATTTGGTATAGCATCAGATGTGGTGTAGTATTGTGGCCGCAGTGTTAACTCTTATTCACCGCTGCCCTTTTGCACCTTGCTCTAAAGGCTCCCCGGAGCCTTCGCTTTAGGAACTTTGAAGCCTAAACCCCCTCCACACACACACACACACACACACACACACTTTTTCTATCTCTGCCCTCCCTCCATCTCTCTCTCTCTCCCCTACTCCTTTCGCCCAGCTCATAACTACCAGAGCCAGACGACTGACTGACACACTCTCCTGCTCACATGCACACACACTCTCAGCACATGCATCGAGTGGAACAGATCCACAGAGCTGCACAGTAGTGAGGCAACTCTGAGAGAGAGGTGGGGTGGAGAAAGAGAGATAGAGAAAGAGAGAGAGCATTTACTCTCCCTCTCTCCTCACTTAAGGAAAGCAGCAGTGTGGAGAAGTTGCATGAAGCGCTTGGTTCCAACTGACGACTTTCTAATCAGACCATGTAAGCCCAGAAGAGGAGGCAGAAAAAGCAGAAGAAGAAACTTCCTGCTGGCTGAAGGAGAGCAGATTTCTCTGAGGGATTACTGGACTCTTGGTATTTGTGCTCGTGTCATGGTGATATCCTTCATTATCGTCTGTTGTTGACAGGAGCCTCTCTGTGTCTTGGATTTCCCAAAGGATCAAAGCTTGTTGTCTGAGCTGAGGAGTGTGTGAATGAAGTGTGTGCAAGTGGGAAACATGTCAAACGGACGATTCAGTCACCTGTTGAGGGGAGTCTGGCTGCTGTGGCAAGGTGAGTTCAAGCACTGTCTGCAGGATGATACTGATTTTTGTTAAAGTCGTCAAGCTGTTTAAAAAGATTGTTTGAACATATCGTTTCTTCTTAAATTATTCCTTTAAAGTCACAGATAAAGTGTGTATTTTTGCACGTTTTACCGGAATCAATTCATACAAAGTATTTTCTCAGCCTGAAAAAAGAACAAGGTAAATGTTTTAAAAGATGAATTAAGGCTTAGACTGTTGCTGATGTTTCATGATCACATAATAATCCCACAAAGTTTGTATTCTTAAATGTAGGAAAATCTGTAAATCTTGCATTTAGAATCAGATCTGAAAAGATTGCAGAAGATTTCCGCCTGTAATCCAAAGCTTTTCCCGTATAAAACCCCAATATAAACGCTCTCTCATGTGAGAAATCAGCTGAACACTTGCGGATTTAGCTTAAAGAACACATGGCAGGACACAGAGACACAAAAGGAAGAGATTATAACTGGCAAACTCATAATAACAAGGAAGTTATCAAGTAATTTGTCACAATTCAAATGATTTGCAGAGGTCAGCATGTGGATCAGCACATTAGAAAAATAAAAACACGACCTGTGCTGACATTGGACTTATGAATAGCCGGTCTTGTTCAGCCTCTCCTCCTCTGTGTGTCTTCAAAGCTTCAGTGGAGGAGGCTTTTTTTTTTAAAAAGAGCTCTGGCTGGTGCCTTTAAACAATGGTTCCCTCGGAGCGGGGAAGCGTGGCCCTGGAACTAATGTTGCCATTATGTTAATGGTTAGAATAACAGGAGACAGCCATTACTGACTTCACCTCAGGCTGCTTTGCGGAGCTGATTATCCAGACGAGGCCTCCAACGTGGAGGCTCTGCATTTTGGCCATCATGGCTGGTTAGCGTGATGAGCTGCGGGACACAGACTGGAGGAGGCATCTGCCCAGTTATAATCATAACCCCCTCGCCCCTCCCTACATCCATCCCTAGCTGCTCCAGTGGTACACTGGTAGACTGGTATCTGTGGATTGTTTTCTTTGTCACCGCTCAAGTCTAGTAGAGGAGACAGGCGAGGTCGAGCCGCTGGCCCTGACCAGATGTCAGAAGCAGCTGCGCAGATCTTCAGCCCAAACAGAGATGATCAGGAATTAATTTGAGGAGCCAACACTGATATCAAGGTGGAATTGTTGGGATGATAATATTTAGAGGGATTTTGACATGTGTAATGTCATTTATGTGAGTGTATGTACATTTCCCGATACTGAGAACGAGATAAAATAGAGTTAAATGTATTGATTCGCAACTTTTGAGGAACTCTGAGACACAAACACTAGTAGGCTACTCTCAATTCTGCCTAAGGCTACTTCATGAGGTTTTTAATTAAATGGTGGCCAAATAGAAGAGACCACGGTGAATACTTGCATCAGATGTGGTGGTAGATTCTTGTTGTGGGACAGTGAAGGTCTGAGATGAAGTTTACCAAAATTGACTTTACCGTTTTCATGCAATTTAAATGTTGGATGCGGCGCTCATGTTTTGGACTCAAACAGTCCGACCTCAAACTCTCCCAGTACGTTGGAGAAAGCAAACTATCGGATCTCACAGAAAGTCTCCAAACCAAGTTTTTGGATTAAGGTGAAACTGATCAGCTGAGTAACATCAGCCTGAAAACATCAACGGACCTTCAACTTCTCTTTCGCTATCTACATCTCAACTGCCTAGGCTGTCCACCAAGAGTAGACACCACAATTCATGTTAGGTGCCATTAAAATCCTCTACTGTGTAATAGCACAAAATCCAACATTACAGCCGAGGAAAGCTGAGAAAACAGAGTAGGTGGATTTGTCGGCCTGATGTGGCCGATGTTCCACTCATGGTGAGGGTGTGAGATGCAGCAGGACGGTGTGTGTGTTGTTGCTTAGAGAACAGGAGCCAGAGTTTGCTAACCGCAGTGGAACTGGCAGCAGGGTCCGCTGGGCAAACCCTGTAGATCCCCTCTCTAAATAAACGAGGCGGCTGGATTAAGCAGCTTAAACTGTGATGAAAAGACAACAGCGGCCGTACATGCGCTGCCCCCGGGACAGAAGGAGAATCCTGGTCCGGGAGACCGCTATGATATGCTGGGGTCAAAGCCTGAGAAAAAGGAAGGGGGGCTCGGGTTAGAATAACACAACAGACCTTGTGTTCTTTGAAAACCTCTAAATCAACCTGACCCTCGCCTGACTTTGGCGACAAGGAAGGAGGGAAGGGAGAGACAGAACCAGGAACGGTGCACAGCAAATGAAATGGTTTCTGTTTGCCTTCCTATGCCCCTTATGAAGTGCTAGAACTCTGATAACAATTTTGGGGTCACATGTTTGCTGTCTGCAGGCACCTTTTGACAAGATTATGTAAGTTTACGGCATGTCACACAGCAGCGACACATCATTAAATAATTTCATCTTAACATTGCAGGGTTACTTCATAATGGTTTAGATGTGTGCACATGCTGTTCTTTTCTAAACTTAATTTAAAAAATGGCATTTTTTATGCTGCACTGAACAAGTTGTTCTACCTGTTTCAAACTGTATTGTTATTGATTGGTTTGTAGACATTGCATTGCACATAGCATTATTTGTTGCTAAATTTCTGGTCTTTTTTGCCCAAGTAGTCGGTGGACATATGTCACAGCATGATCTATTCTAGGACCACCGTTTTTGATTGAAAACCTCCTTTCTCTCACAATTGACCATTTTAATCTCAGAAAGCCCAAAATTGCAACTAAAACGGGCCTCTACTGGATGCAGGGTTGATATCACAGAGTATGTCAAAAGTTGTCTTACCTACATGTTGAGTAGCTGCTTAAAAGCCATCGTCAGCTGTTCATACATTTGGTTGGTAAGTGAGGAGTGCTGCATTTGAGCTTTTGATGGTCAACAAAAACTGCTTATTTATCCACAATATGTTTTTTTTTTTCTTATAAACGCTTCAAATACAGAATATGTGACGTTTGGGTTTGGAGTTGTTTAAAGGCACCTTTGACAAGACTGCATGGGTTTAGTAACAAAAGTCGTATTAGTTTACAATCTCAAGTGAGATAAATAATCTAAAAAGTCTTTATGTGCCAAACTTTTAAGTTGTAGCTTAAAACAAATGTAACAACATGCACAACTTGTGACGAGGGGGGACAAGTAGAGAGTCCTTTGTAATACAGGGTCACAACAAGCCAAATACAGTTGGGAATAACTGTCTCACAACACAGATCCACGATCTGGAGGACAGCTCAGCAACTGAAAAAGCAGCTGTGAACTGTGAATAATGTAGAGCAGTCACCTAAGTATGTGGAATGAGCAGGATCTCTCATCTACTATAGCACCACACACAGAAAACACACCCATGCACCTCACTAATCTTATCATAAAGAAGCCTCACCCCACCCCCCTGCTACCCCCTCTTCCTCCTGAACAAACTTCATTCACCTCATCAACCACTGACAGACAGACACACAGAAAAAACCCGAAACAAAGACGAGAAAAAAAGAAGGGAGGAATCTGAAATCCATCCAGGAGAAATGAGCCGTAAACATCATGGCTTTTTCATCAGGGCAGGGGGAAGTAATCAGTGGAGGGGGAGTAGGGCCAAGAGGGCAGCGGGCACTTTGAGGACAGTTTGGAGGGGTTTTGTCCTGCAGCACTGAGGCAAAGTAAGATGAGAAAGTGGCTTTACAGGACACTGGGGGTAACCGAAATGGGCTGAGGATGTAGTAAAAAAACTCAAGAGGAAGTAGTTAAAATACAGGAACATGGAGGGATTGGTGCTGCTTTGCCATCATTTCAGTTTCTGCGACACTTAATATGCCTCCACTTTGGCAGGCACACTCCATTAAAAGCCTCAGTAGAAGCAGCTATGAAGCAAACAAAGGCGTCTCTCTCTAATGAACCGGGCTGACTTCAACGTCAAGCACTTGATTCCCGCTGAAAGCCCGGAATATAAAGTGCCTGGATCTGGTCCTTGTTTTTCCAGGATAGCTCCAAATAAAGAAGTACATAAAACTGTATTTTGACGTTGGATGAGACATGAGAGGAAAGCGGAGGCTGCCAAGCCGTAATCACAAATGCAAACATGCAAACAGAGTGCAGCCTGGAGGTCCTTTATAAATGGTATCCCTTCTGCAGAGGACTGCAAATAAATGTGTGCAGTGTGTTCTGTTGGACGTGCATTTTTACATGTGTGTATGCATGCATGCATTTGTGTGTTCAAAGGATGAATTTAGGAGCTCAGAGACAGGTAGATTACTTTGGCTGCTCATCAGTCGGCTGCAGCGTTGGTGATGATGACAGAATGACCGTTAGACCACACGCAAGGCCCAGCCTGCTGCACTGACCCCTTGTGGGAGAATCAGGATACTGCATGGGGATAGATGGGAGATGAGTGTTGTCTCTGCCTGCCTGAAATGTAAAATATGTGGTGTGTTGTTCTGACAACAATCTGGTTAACTGCAAGTTAGCTGCAGTTTACCTTCTCCTGTTTAATAAAAGGCTTGCACACAAAGCAATTGGTTTATCTTTCAGTCAACCAACATTTGAATAGCTCTGACCCTTTATGAGTATAACGAGCTTTGACAATTATTGTAGTATGAACATCCCTTGATTTGTTTTAATGGCAATCCAAGCGTTGTTTGTCATTCTCTGTAAAAAATTGTTTCACATTTAAAAGAACAGCAAGGTGCCCATATACACATCAAAGCTTTTACTCATCTTAATATTGACCATTATGAGATCCAACCTAATGAGCTCCCAGTGTAAGTGATCGGGAACACAATCCACAGTCCTTGTTCTGTGGGAAATGTATTTCAAAATTTCAAAGTAAGTTTGAAGCCTAAATTCTTAAACAAAAAAAGCATTAATTTAGTCTCAGTCAAATCAGGAGTTATATTCCAAGTGTGTAAGTTTTCCATGAGGGTTCTTCTGTTGAGCTGCAGCAGGGGGATACAAAGGCAAAGGAGGAATGTCGTACCAAAAAAAACTTCAAAATGCTGATTGACTCATTTCTGAAGCCTCACCAGCTTCAGATAAACTGAAGTTTGCACAAAAGAGCACTGTGGATTTTGTCATATCCACAGTTTCAGCACATTAATACGGGTTGTTGTAAAATGAACAGGAACATGATTAACTTTACTAACACATTTATTTCAATGTTCATATGTGCACCTAACTGGCAGAGATGAGCATACAAGCATATCCTTAATGTGGGAAGAGCTTTCATTTTCTTTTTGGCTGTATTGCTTTGCTGAACAAGTTAAAGGGGTTGACCCTTGACCTCTATGAAGACATAGAGATTAGTGACATGGTTGGACTTTAAGTCAGTGCTTGTCATCAATTTGCTCTCATGTTATCTTTTAGTTATGAGGTTGCTGTCAATATCTCATGTTAGTATTATTGCGAAATTGTTTCTATTTACGTTGGCCTCCAAAATAATCAATTGAATAACATCTCTCTGAAAAGTTTTGACCGACAACTGAACATTATAAACTGGCAGCTGAGAGTATAATCCAACATAAATGATACATTTGACTTACAGTGAGTTTTGTTGGTAAAAATATATGAAATCTGTCTGTGGATATTCTATACCTAGTTAGGAAGGCGCAGACTTTATCAAAGGGACGTTTCAGGGGCCATACTGAAACACTAGTTTAGTGGGAACCATTGTTTGATCAAACCAATACAATTTGACTCCCTATGTAGGATGTGAATCAAATAAATGAGTCCCCTACCTCCTCCAAATTGAGATCGGGGGTGGACTTGTATCATTGGTATTACAACATTGCCTCACTTGCGGTTGTACTAGGCCCTTTTCTAAAAGAATACCTAAAACCCTGCAATGAGCAATTTTGTTTTACTAAGCGCTGCGTTTTAGAGAAATTTTTTAGTAAATGCAACCATATGCCCAACTGGAACGAGATCCAAGAAAGGGAAAGGGGCTGAATGACAAGTGACCTCAAGAAACACTTTAGAAATGTTTTGGCAAAAACAGAAACTCAAATATATGCGACTCTCGCTTCTCTCTCCATTCATTGCGCTGTGTGCGAGTAACCACTTAGGCAACATGTTGCATGCAGCTACAAAGGCAGGATAACACAAAACAGACCAATTGGATGACCTGCAGGGAAATAAATTAATCCTGATTAGTATTTCTGCTCCGAGCTCTCCCGTGGGAGCGCAGCTGGGTCCGACCAACTGGCTTCCCTCGCCAGCTGCATTGACATGGAGCATAAACAAACACATCAGCACATGGAGAAATTGCAAACATGTTTCAATGCCTATGACAGGAAAGAGAAGTATTAATCATATCAACAAATTGACAGACAGGTTGAAGGAGAAGAAATGTGCCTTCGAGCTTAAATCTGATTTTGTGGTTTTTGACTGTATAGTTCATCCAAATTCAACATGTGTGTTTCCATGTGTGTTTCCATGTGTGTGTGTGTGTGTGTGTGTGTGTGTGTGTGTGTGTGTGTGTGTGTGTGTCAAGTGATGCTAGGAAATGACGGAGGTGCACACATGTCTGGTCGTGGTCAGCATATGGGAAGCATTCCAAAAATTAGGGGAACAAGAAATATCCTCCATTCTGACACTAACAAGGTTAATAAACGGTCGCCATCTTGGAGCCTTTTACAGAAAAAAAAACACACTCTTTCCATTCAAAGTCCCCATTTTCCTTTAGCTCCATCTGCTGAGTCATAAGAAAACAAACTTATCAGCGACTCAACAACTAACTCCCAACTCAACTGGAGGCTCAACAGGTGATGTTCTCCCCAAGTGCATCTAAAGTCAAATGAGAGAAAAGTGGAGTGAGATTACACCCATAAAGCTGTCTACCACAGGCGGCCCTGAGGAAAGCTGAGAAAGTGAGAGTTATAATGTGAGAACTGTGAGGATAAAGGAGAGCGAGAGGGAATAAGAGAAAAATAAAAGGTGGACATTTAGGAAATCGCAAGCTGGATACGCTGACTTAGAGCTAAAGTTTCTTCAAAACTCTTATGGCAGGGTATTAGAAGAATTAGAAGATTAATGATGTTAAATATAAAACAGTCAGCAGCTGGTTAGCTTAGCTTAGCATACAGACTGGGAAGAATGGAACTAAATGCAACAAATCTGCCTGCCAGCACCTCTTAAGCGCACTATTAAACATTATAGATATAAATTCAATCATATTATGGGGGAAGCATTTTTAAGTGAGAGGAAAAAACAGGAGGTTCAAGCCAGATAGAAAACAGGAGACGGAGACGTCTGTGAGAACTCATCCCCCTTTGCTTTTTACAATTTGTTTTGGGAGAATGAAACTGAATAAATTGTTTTCATACGCACAGAAAAATGCACACATTTTGCAGACAGATCCCAGTGGGTTTCCTCATGTTGCAACCATGAGGGTGCAATCAGAAAACCCTTTTTGTCTGAACTGAAACCAGATCGTAGCTCGGCCTTGCCGTGTCGACACAAAAAGCAGAAAGTGCAGATATGACTAAGACAGGCAGACAAAATGCAGATGTGCACGTGTCAGACCAATACATGTTTTTCACGTGAATAATGCTTTCATTTTGTGTTTGGGAAGACTCAAATGAGAACATTTTTCAACTGTTTACTTTATTTGTATGATAAATATGAACATAAACAAAGATCTCAGAGACACACACTTCCTCCCTCCTTGCAAACCCCAAAAACGAGGCCTGCATGCTGAAGCCGCAGGCTGATTGGAGTGACAGGCCCTAACTGTCTGCACTGTGGCCAATGTCCTGGTTCACAGCTATGTATGGTTTCTATAGCACGCACTCACCCCTCATTACATGGAGAATTTACCCAAATGACATCCCTTAAACAGCTTGCAGTCAACCATAAGTGTGCTGAGATGTACCAGGGAGAAAATGTGGACATTTCCTCATGACCATTATCTGTTCCCTCCATTTTCTGATGAAGGAGGCCGATAATCATCATAATGGCTCTCCCATTTCCTGTAGCCACCCAACATCAGCATGGCAATCGAAATGGAGTGCAATGGAGCCTCTGCGTTTATCTCATCGGATAATATTTACTTACTGTTTTGTGATTTCCCTTTCTCTGTAGCTGTGTTTGTGGCTGGAACTGGGAGTAAGCTCTGGGAGGTTCCCACAGCCTCCTTCACTTCCTCCTCCAACCTCAGTGAGAGCCTGCAGGACTGTGAGTACCGCCACCTTCAGGACAGAGTGAGCATCACAGCAGACATCCCACCTAGACTGGATGGCACATGGGTGTCAATAAGGTGCATTTCTTTCTTCTTCTAAAGTGCAAAAGCAGCATTTATTTTAGACAATGTCAAGGAAGTTCAATAGGTCGCTTAATATTGTTTTGATGTTTAATGTAGCATCCTTGTATTCGTTCATATCATAGACTATATATACACACATTCACATATAGTTCTATCTGTTTAAGTATTGTAGGCTGTCGGATCCCTCTAATTGTCTTACACTACTATGTAGATACACTTAATAAACAGCGAGTCATTGCTTTTTTCAGAATTTCAATTTAAGCAGATTAAAAGAGTTTTAGACTTCAGATGAGATACTGATTTTATGTTCTCAATTGCTTGTTCCAAGTCTTCTATAACACAGTATTATTTTGGTCCCATTTGAACATATCTATGTCAGAGTGTGTTTTCACTTTACTCCATCCGCTCCTGTCAATTTTGGTTCTGATGAAAAAAAAGATGGTGACAGCCAAAATGCTGCTGAAGGTTTTAAAAACAGTCCACAAACAAATTGTGTATGTTACATTTGCTACATCCATTTCTTATCCTTAAATATATTTTTGACCTGTAACTTCACTTAAAGGGGACCTATCATGCAAAATGCACTTTTTGATGTCTTTTATACTTAAATATGTGTCCCCGGTGCGTCAGGGAACTCACGCAGCGTCAGAAAATACAACCCTCTCTCTTTTCCTCCGCACCCACCACATCTCTAAAAACGGGGGTACAACAGAGCTGATCCAGATTTGCGTCCGATATGACGTAAAATCGGAAATGCGAATCCACGGTACTATCAGAAAGTTGCTATCAGAAACAATGCCCGACTGTTTTGGACGTAATGGTCTTTGTTTACATTAGCAAGCATGCTAACACTCAGAGCTAACGCAGTACTGGAGAGAGCGTGTCAAAGAAGCAGGAAATTAAAAAAGGAACTCACCTTGTGGTAAACCGGCAAGAGAAGAAGCATTTGATCTCCATACTGTTTCAGAAATAATCCTTGATGTGGTTTGGAACATGATATGGCGTTTAATCACGGGAGCATTGAGCTGAATCTGAGTAGGCATTAGCTCCCCCTCCTCTTTGTTATTTTTTCAAGCTAAGGACCCCACACCTGCAGTTCTCTAACAAGGCTAAAATAGAGGGATATGAGGGATGTCTAAAATGCAGGATGTGTTTGGTATTTTGAGCAAAACACATCATAGACATGTTTTTTATATATCTGAGACCCATAATAATGCCTGAAAATAGCATAATAGGAGAACTTTAAGACTTGCCCCAAAAGGCAGGACAGTCAGCTAACCCCTGTTCACTACTGTTTAGAAAGTATTCAGACACAACTAATCACTAATCATTCCTTATTTGACTCCTCTCTGTTCAGATGTGAGGTGCGGCCCGGTCCAGAGTTCATCACCCGCTCCTACACCTTCCACCCCAGCCGCCACTTCACCGCCCTGCAGCACTATTACACCGACAGCAGCTGTGAGGCCCCGGCCTACTCCCTGATGATCAGGGGGAAGCTTCGTCTGCGGCAGGCCTCCTGGATCACCCGCGGGGGCACCGAGGCAGAACACCACCTCAGCAAGGTGGGCATCGTGGTCCACAGCCTGGCAGCCAAGCAGAGGCTGTCCTCCAGGCTTCCTTCCTCCTGCGTCGGTCTGACCCTGAGTCGGGTGGTGCCGGGGAAGCTGTACGAGCTGTACAACACCCGGGCAGGGAGGGGGTGTCTGTCGGCGCTGGGCTTCTCTATGATGGAGGTGGGGCTGATACGGGTGGAGACGCAGCACCACAGCCATGGAGGGAAGATCCAGGAGCTGTTCTTAGGAGATATTCACACTGACTGGACACAGAGGACTGAGTACAGACCAACAGGGTACCAACAACCCCTGCAGAACGCCATGGTGAGACATGACTGCCATACAGAGTGTGGAGGATAATTATGAGGGAGGCCAGGGTAGCTCCTACAACAATATCAACAGTAGAGCAGCAGCAGTAGAAAGCCTGCCTTTCCCAAGAGCCCTTTAACTGTCTTTAAGTTTAAGAACACATTGTTAAGCCCAACTTCAAATGTTGTTTCAGAAAGTCTAGTTAATATTTTGTCTTTCTTACAAACTATACTACGCTATATACATGTTTAAACATCAAGGCAAAACAATTCAATTTGATCATTATAAGCTTGAAAAGGAACAAATTGAAAGCTGATGCAATAAGTCAATTAAGCAATGTTGATAGAAGATAAATTGTTGTCGTTCCAGCTCCTCGAATGTAAAGATGTTATGAGTTTTCTTGGTTTGATGTGTTTGTGAATACAACTAGGTCTACAACTAGTGATTTACTTCATTCTCAGTTACTTGCCAATTTGTTGTCTGATCAGCAAATAATTTAGTTTATAAATATTACAAATAATTCATAATTTCTCAGGTCCAAGATTCTGTTTTGTTCCACTAACAGTCCAAAATCCCACCAAAATAATGAATGATCATGCCACATAAAATAATCAATTGTTTGGCAACCATTATCAAAATTGTTGGTTGTTAATTTTCTGTTTACTTATTTAAGATTATCCCATTATTATTTCTGTTATGTTATCAGTGAATTGCAATTGTAATTGTTATAGTCATTGAACACGAATCAACAACCTGATTAATGATACATCTTCAGTTGCAGCCCCATAGGTCAAAATGCCTCACCTCTTAATTTGTCTTCGCAGCATCACCTCCACCCCTGCCCTGTGTGCGCCCTGGTGTATCGCTCCTCAGAGCATCGCCCCCCGGTGTTGCCTCGCAGCCCTGCAGCTTCTCTGTCTCTGGCCGGCCGCTGGGTCAGCCAGCGCTGTGAAACCCGTCCCAACGTCCTCTTCCTCATTCGAGACTTCACCTTGGATCCCGACCAGCATGCATGGGAGGGCATCTATAGACACTACTCGGACCCTGCCTGCTCTCAGCCCACCTTCACCCTGAGAGCTTCGGGCCACTACGCTCAGGGAAACCCATCCACCAAGGTCTCAGGAGCCACAGAGTTTGTCTTCAAGGTCACCGAGGTGAGAATCACGGCTATGGAGGGGCAGACTGCTAAATTACTGAATGGGACGAGGCCTGGAAGGTGTGGTCTGGCAGGGTGCTGGGAGATCGGGGTTGAACAGGATTTGACCCCCACAGATGGATGCAACCTGCTGGGCCTCAAGCTGCCACACAAGGAGTACGAGCTCTTCAAGCCTGAGCTGGATCACAGGAAACACCCGCTGCTGTTCACCGGAGAAAGGCCGACTGATGGGACCAGCCCAGACCGGCCGCAGAGGAGGCCCACTTCATTTCAAGCTCCCATGGTGCTTTGCAGTGGGTTTCCACGTCACTATGGCTCAGGTTTCAACAACAAGCAAGTCCAGTTAGCCACCAGTGGGACAGCGAGACTGGTACAGCTGGTGTTACTGGTGCTGGGATCTGTGCTGTGCAGCAGGTTTTGTGTTTATTAGAGACATTGTTTAACAATCAAGCCTGCTACACAGCTGAAGTCATTGATGAAATTGTTTTCTGGCAGCTTTCCTTCACTCTTCCTCCATATGATGATGACTAACATGTGTGATTGTCAAAAGAAATCATGAGACACTCAGGAGAGATTAATCATTTTTTATATCTGGCCTTCAGATGCTGCCTGTAGATTCACTTTAATGACTCTTAACGCTGCATTTCTACCTAAAACTAATCTGTATATAAACCACAAATGTATACAAGTGCCATAATTTCAGTATGTATTATATACTTTTATACCGTCCCGTCCTCCTTTTGTATATTGATCAGATGTTCTCACTTTACAGATTCATTATTTGTTTTGCATATTTCTGTAAATGCAGTTTTCTTGTCATGCTTTTTATTATACAAAGCAAGATCACAGTGTTGAAGTGTGGATCAGTTATTTCCAGAAGCCATGGACCTTGCAGCAGACTTCTCACGAGAGCTTATTTTCATCTGAGATGCAATATAATGAACTCTATACATGGACATTGTTCTCTCAGAATGCTGGAGAGAAGAAAAAAGCTTTAAAAAGTTTAATCAGCCCTCTAATAGCTGCCATCATCATTGATCTAATGCCACTGTGGTGTGAAATGTTGCTTTATCTCTATCTTCTGTCAAGCTTGTTTATTATTCTGCCTTTCTATCAGCACTCAATCGAAACAAATCAATTGAATATTTATTTTAACCATTTATACTGTATTTTTTGATAAGAGAACGATTTTTGGTTTAATATTTTAGTTAGTTTGCCATTTATAATGAAGTGATTTCTTTCTATGTGTATTAAAAAAGGCTTTTCATAACGTCTTGTGTTCAGTTGGTGTTTGAATCAAGAGTCTGAAGAGAAGCTAGAGTCACTGCAACAGAGCTAAGCCCTAAGTTAACGTCATGCTAACACGCTGATGTTTAGCCTGTGTAATTCCCATGCTCACAATCTTAATTTCGATCTTGAGCATGTTTAAAATGAATAATAAGCACTAAGAACAAAGCATGGTTAACTAATGTATGCAGGTATAAAGTCATGATCCAATGTATTCGAAAAATTGAAATCATGACCTGATGATTGTGCTCAATGAAAACTTAAAACTAGAGTGCAGGACTTTTATGAATAATGTAACATCCGTTACTTTTAAACCCTTGCCAAACAAGTTTCCTATACCGGCACACATACATATACTGGCTCGAGGGCTCGCAGCGTCTCCCCGTCCCCTGAAGGGCTGAAGGACTTTTTTTCTGGACGCTTCTTAGGATTTACCATTTTACTCATAGCTGATATTCCCTTAGTCTGTTCTTATTTTACTACTCACCACAGCCAAAAAGGTTAGACATACATTCTGCACTCCAGCTTTAATGACTCAAATCAAAGTTATTACAATCATGAGGACATAAAAGTTTGAACAAAACTTCAGAGCATTAAAACATAAAAACTTGATACATCTTGAATATTGGTCAATACCACAAAGTCAAGTGTTCCTCAATGTCATTAGGATTCATCCCTTGGACACATGAATATCTGCACAAAGAATGTCATCATAGCAATCCATTCAATAGTTGTTGAGACAGTATAGCCTGAACCACAAAGTGGTGCACAGACTGAACTACACACGTAAAGGAAAGTTCTTTGTGCTGCTGTTTTATTTCAAGAACCAAACAGAACATTGGGACTATTTCATCAGCTGGATATTGTCCTCTATCAGATGTTCAGACTGCAGTCTGATTTAAAGCCCAGATAGTGGGTGGATGAGTGTACTGCTGTTTGATAAATAACTGTAATATGGCTGACACATTACACAAGCCATTCCAGTGTGGGTCCAACTGCTGAAAACATACGGATATCAGATTGGATGCACACAGTGTATCATGAGAATAAACAGCCATCAGCAAACAAAATAGATTTTGCAGTCACTCTGACGAAAAATGAGGCAAGAGAAGCCTCAGTTAAAGGGGACCTATCATGCAAAATGCACTTTTGTACGTCTTTTATACATGAATATGTGTCCCCGGTGTGTCAGGGAACTCACCAAGTATCAGAAAACAAAACCCTCTCTCTTTTCCTCCCAACCCGGTATCATGGCAAGACGTGAAGATGTCACGATTTCGTCCCTTCAAACGTGACAGTTACACGGTATTGTTAACATGGCCCAAATACCTGGAAATGCCAAGCAAATGCTGTACTACGACAGTCAGTTGTTATTGTAAATATTAATATAATAATGATTTATTTTTTAATAGTCACACTGAATTTCGCCCCAGCTAGTCGACACCTCTTTTAGCAGAAACAAAGGCTACATTAATGTATTAAATCGATGTTAATCCATGTGTGCGGTTGTGGAATTAACGGACGTGATGTTGTGCGATTGCGTTGCCAGGCAACAACTTGGCTTCATGTTAATTTACAAACTCTTCAACTAGATCCGTAGTTATATTTAAAAACATTTTAGAAGGCCTCACGAAATACTTTAATGTAAATTTAAATTTAAATGTGAAGGACTGTGTGTATAACAAAATACATCCGTCATAAACAACCGGAAACAGACGTAGGCAAGATCCTCAGCTCGGTGATTGGATGGTTTAGCCGCAATGCACGTTGGGATATGGTGTTTATGCGATGGGAAATCCGAAAACATTTAAAAAAAAAATAATAATACTTTATTTCGGATGTGCTTGCTTTTCTCTTTGAAAATCATCACAGCATAACACATAACAGCATTGTAATACACGGTTCGGCTGCATTAAATATTACATATCTGCCGTAGTTCTCTATTTATAGAGCCCTGATGAGAAGACTTCTAGACAAACAGGAAGAACTGCCGCTAAAACTGAAAACGTGACGTGGATCATAAATATATCAGCAATTAAACAACATCTTAGATTTATTTTCACACAATACGTCTCCTTGCAGTATCAACACTAATTCGGCTGACTTTTATATTTGATCCAATTGGTAGATAGGCTGTATTTACACCATAACGGTGCACAGCTGATATAAAGGGACACCTAGTGGTTAAAGCACGTTATTGAATTTTATTATTTGTATTATTAGATATTAATAGCATCCCTATAAAGTATATTCATTACTCGTTATTCTCTACTAATAGTTAATTAAAGACTGTATATAATGACTATTTTGCACATCCCTTTCAAGATTTCAAAATGTTCTAAGGTTTATTGACATATCATATTATACACAACTACGGTGTAGTTATGCAATGAATGAAAAACTTTGGTCGTAGGTTCCTCAACAGTGCATTACAAGACATCTATCAATATGTGTGTATACTCCACCATTAAACTGTCATATTCTGCACATTTCTTATATTATCTACATACATCTTATAAGAGTATAATACATATGTATAATATCAGTTAAAATAAGTGCTTAAACATAGTTAACATTGCAGGAAAGCAATATATTAGACGTTAAGTACTTTGTCAGGCTTAATATTTATCTCTAGATACCCCCAAAGCTTTTTTCTTATTCAAAAGAAGACCTTAACCTAAACTATTCTTTAATGTTTAAATAAAGCCTTATTAGTTTGTCTGTTATGCACATCCTCCTATTAATATCTAATAATACAAAGAATACAATTCAATAAAGTGCTTTAACCACTAGGTGTCCCTTTCTATCAGCTGTGCACCGTTATGGTGTAAATACAGCCTATCTACCAATTGGATCAAATATAAAAGTCAGCCGAATTAGTGTTGATACTGCAAGGAGACGTATTGTGTGAAAAGAAATCTAAGATGTTGTTTAATTGCTGATATATTTATGATCCACGTCACGTTTTCAGTGTTGGCGGCAGTTCCTCATGTTTGTCTAGAAGTCTTCTCATCAGGGCTCTATAAATAGAGAACTACGGCAGATATGTAATATTTAATGCAGCCGAACCGTGTATTACAATGCCGTTATGTGATGACTTTCAAAGAGAAAAGCAAGCACACTCGGAATAAAGTATTATTTAATTTTTTTAATGTTTTCGGATTTCACATCGCATAAACACCATATCCCAACGTACATTGCGACTAAACCATCCAATCACCGAGCTAAGGATCTTGCCTGCGTCTGTTTCCGGTATTGTTTATGACGGATGTATTTTGTTATACACACAGTCCTTCACATTTAAATTTACATTTACATTAAAGTATTTCGTGAGGCCTTCTAAAATGTTTTTAAATATAACTATGGTTCTAGTTGAAGAGTTTGTAAATTAACATGAAGCCAAGTTGTTGCCTGGCAATGCAATCGCACAACATCACATCAGTTAATTCCACAACCGCACACATGGATTAACATCAATTTAATACATTAATGTAGCCTTTGTTTCTACTAAAAGAGGTGTCGACCAGCTGGGGCAACAAGAAAATCGGCGAAATCGAGTGTGATTATTACAAAATAACTCATTATATTAATATTGACAATATTAATGTTAACAATACCGTGTAACTGTCATGTTTGAAGGGACAAAATCGTGACATCTTCACGTCTCCCAGCATGGTAAATCGTCACATGTTCACGTCTTGCCGTGATACCGGGTTGTTTACTCCATACCCAAATCTCTAAAAACAAGGCTGCAACGGAACTGATACAGATTTGAATTTCTCTGACGTCAGAAAAGGGGTGCTCCGCCTATATGGGCAACTCTCCACCTATCAGGGGGATGAGAGGTTGGGCCACGGCCACGGCCATTGCCCAACCTCTCATTCATTTCTGCTTGTGTGTTCTAAACATTTTACCACGGACATGTTTATGAACTAGATTTTTTTTCGCCGGTCAACATGTCCGTTAAAGTTTAAATCTTCCGGACAAAATTGGAAAAGTGCCGGTCAAAGGTCTTCTTTGTTATTTATTGAGCTTTAAAACAAATGAATAACGACTCTATATAATAATATAAGAATAATACACGGAGGACGGAGCCTCTCTTTTCCTCCCCCTCTTCTGAGAGCCCAGCAGCTGATCTCCCTCTCCTGCAGGGGGGCGTGGTCAGCTGCAGCTCATTTGCATTAAAGCTACGTCACAGAATCAGCCCTTGCAAAAACAGGGCTGGAAAAGAGCAAATAGAGCGAAATGAGGCATGGCTAAAATGCATGATCTGTTTGGTATTTTGAAAAAAAAACTTCACAGACATGTTTTATATAGGTATGGCCCTACAATATATTATTCAAATATAGCATGATAGGTCCACTTTAAGACAACACAAAAATATATAAAGCTCCAGATTTTCAGTGTTATGACTGAAGCAAGTGAAGCATTGTGCCTTGTAGAGAGAGATTGAAGAAGAAGATTCATTACGTAGTACAGGTATGTAACGAAACGGTTTCTCTGCATTTGACCCATCCTAGTGTTAGGAGCAGTGGGCTGCCATTATGTACAGCGCCCGTGGAGCAGTGTAGGGAACGGTGCCTTGCTCAGGGACACCTCGGTAGCACTTAGTCTTTCCGGGACTTGAACTGGTGACCTTACAGTTGCCAAGCCAAGTCCCTATGGACTTCGCCACCACCGCACACATCACCCATTAGTAAAACCATGACACCTGCTTCCACAAAATGATTGCAGGCAGACTCAATGTCATATCACCAGAATCAGCTGGAGTCTACAAAATGTTATACACGCAACTCATCTTAAGTTTTAAACCAATTACGAAGGAAAACATATTCCACCTAGTATTTGTTATTTCCTTGAGAGTTGAAAATGTTTCACGACAAATCCCAGTTGGCTGCCTCAGTTCCAGTTGTTTCTGCAAATTGCACCAATCCATTTGTTATATTTTTTAAACTTTGGTCAATTTGT